AGCGAAGAAGGAACGACGAGCAAGTAGCTGCTGCCGGTGGGTGAGAAGTTCCTCTTATAAAGAACATCATTTCGCAAGCAGTACGACGGCAGCCCTCTCGCAAATAACTTTGGAACGCTATTCGCTCGCCCTTGTAGGTAATCTATAAGTGGTAGAAGCTCAGCATCACCACGCTGCTGTTGAGAAAAGGTGGCAGTGTCCACAATTCCGAGAAAGGCCGTGTCGTCATCGTCGTTGTCCGGGGATGCCGTCTCAACAGGAGACCGAGAAAGACAGTGGGCATCGGTGTGTCGTTTTCCCGACTTGTAGGCAACAGTGAAGTCAAATTCTTGGAGCCGAAGACTCCATCGTGCAAGGCGGCCAGACGGATCTTTCAAGTTGACTAACCAACAGAGAGAGTGGTGATCGCTGATAACGGTGAATGGGCGGCCGTACAAATAAGGACGAAACTTCAGGACTGCCCATACCATTGCAAGACATTCTTTTTCCGTCGTAGTGTAATTAGCTTCAGCTCGGGACAGCGTCCTGCTGGCATAGGCGATCACGTTTTCATTGTTGTCCTTTGACTGTACGAGCACTGCTCCAAGACACACATTACTAGCGTCTGTATGAAGTATTGTCGGTGCGTCTTCATCGAAGTGGGCCAGGACGGGGGGTGTTTGCATTCGCTGACGAAGCTCGTGAAATGCCTGCTGTTGGTCTTCGCCCCATCTGAAGGGGGTATCTTCCCGAGTAAGCTGTGTCAATGGCCATGCGATGCGCGAAAAATTAGCAATAAACCGCCGGTAGTAGGCACAGAGACCTAAAAAACGTCGCACTGATTTTTTGTCTGATGGTGTCGGGAAGTTTGCCACGGCGGCAATTTTATCCGGGTCGGGTCGGATACCTTGGCTGCTCACGACGTGACCGAGGAATCGAAGTTCGTGGAAGCCGAAGTGGCACTTTTCTGGTTTTAGAGTAAGACCGGCCAAGCGTATTGCTTCAAAAACTGCTTCGAGTCTTCGTAAGTGTTCCTCGAAAGTCGCCGAAAAGACAATCACGTCATCGAGGTACACCAAGCAGGTTTGCCACTTAAGTCCCGACAGAACCGTGTCCATGAGACGCTGGAATGTTGCTGGCGCCGAACACAAACCGAAAGGAAGACCCTGAAATTCATAAAGTCCGTCGGGCGTAACAAAGGCGGTCTTCTCACGATCTCTGTCATCCACTTCAATTTGCCAGTAGCCGCTTTTTAAGTCATAGACGAAAAGTAGCGTGCGTTTCGTAGTCTATCCAATGAATCATCAATACGCGGCAGAGGGTAGACGTCCTTCTTTGTGATCTGATTAAGCTTACGGTAGTCGACGCAGAAACGCAAGCTACCATCCTTCTTTTTGACGAGTACTACAGGTGATGCCCAAGGACTGTTAGACGGCCGAATAACACCATCTTCTAGCATCGTTTTCACCTGTTTTTGAATTATCTCACGCTCCTTTGGGGCGACTCGATAAGGATTTTGCCGGATGGGTCTGGCATCGGAATCCGTGATGATGCGGTGTTTTGTCAATGCCGTTTGACCAACTCTTGATGTGGATGAGAAGCAGCCGTGGAACTTGTTGATCAGCGTGAGAAGGCGGTCTCGCTCAATGGGAGATAACATTGGACCAACGTCTACAGGTGTCGGTGTAGTGATAGTAGACGCTGCTGCTTCCTCCACTAAATGACAATCTTCTGTTTGCGAGAGTTCGTCAAAATAGGCAATAGCCGTGCCTTTAACTATGTGTCGGCGTTCTCTGCTGAAATTCGTCAATAGCAGTTCAGCGCATCCGTCAATAACAGTGATGACAGCCCTGGCAACAGAAATGCCGCTAGTGAATGCGAGCTCCTTGATGTGTTCAGCGACGCCAGTACCATTTCGTAATTTGTCACAGTGCACGGATACGAGAGAACAACTTCGTGGCGGCAGTATGACGTCGTCATCGGCAATACGGAAGTGAGGTGGCTGGCGTTCCTCATCTGTAGCAGTCTCCGAGCTTAGAGTGAATGTTACGCTTCTGTCACGGATGTCAATCACAGCCCCGTATTCGCGCAAGAAATCCATTCCCAATATGAGCTGTTTACAGCACTCGTGGAGAATGACGAGGGTGGCGACAAAGGTGGAACCAGCAATGAAGAGTCGGGCCGTGCACTTTCCAACCAGTGTCATCAACTGACCTCCTGCAGTTCTTATATTGGGTCCCTGCCATGGCATTTTCACCTTCCTTAGCCTTTCGGCTAGCTGTAGGCTTATTATAGAAAAGTGGGAGCCAGTGTCCACAAGTGCCGTCACTTGGTGGCCGTCAATGTGAACGACGAGGTCAGCGCTGATAACGTCGGTTACGTCGGCAGTTGTCTCATTCGTCGAATTAGTCGTTGCTGTCGTCTTCTTCGGTATCGATGGCTTCGAGCTGTCACTTGTCTGCAATGGGGACTGTTCGGAATTTCAAATATTGGCAACCCCACCCCCCGAGGTCGCTGCGTCTAGTTTCCCCGTCGCGGGTTAGGGGACCTGCCCCTGGTGACGTCGGCAAAACTGCGACGATTAGGTGAACTGGGCCGCGCAGGAGATGGAGAACGTGATCTGGGCATTACTGGATTCTGCGGCGGTGTGTTCACATGGGCGTAGTTGTACATGCGTTGATGTCGTACGCAACGTAATCAGGGTAGCGAGGAAATCTCGAGTACTGAGCGTCGCGATAACGGCAAACTCTGTAGACGTGCCCAGCTTCGCCACAATGAAAGCATACCGGTCGACGGTCAGCGGTACGCCACAAATCGGTTTTCCGACGCTGGTAGGTAAGTGGAGACTCACTATTGGGCCACGTTGTGGGGCGACGTTGTGGGGCATGTTGGTTATACAGCATTCGTCTTGTCGGAGGAATCGGTGAGGTTGCGAAAGTGGTCGGTGCTGACAGTGGCTGTGTTTGCAGGGTTGGTGGTGGTCCAGTCATTGGGGTCTGCTGTGCTGAAGGAGCGACGACGGGGCGTCGGACTGCATCAGCATAAGTAAAATGTCGTCGCTCACCATTATAGCCGGATGAAGAGAGAGCATGGCGGACCTCATCCCGGACAACATCAGCGACAAAAGACAATGCCGGCGTCGGTTCAGTCGCTGGAATTAAACCAAGCTGCCGAAGCTCCTCCCTCAAAATCTCCCGGATGACTTCCCGCAGAGGCCTGTCGTTGTCGCAGAGGCTCGCCGCAGTCGTGACAGGGCTACTCGCTCGAACGTTGACCGGGTTCTGCTGGCGGTACCGTTGCTGTAGGGCCCGTTCAATAGCTGTGGCTTCTTTCGTGAACTCAGCTACTGTTGTTGGCGGATTTCTCACAAGTCCAGCAAACAGTTGCTCCTTCACGCCTCGCATTAGATACCGGAGCTTCCTGTCTTCCGGCATCTCGGGATCCGCCCTGCCGAAAAAACGGGTCATGTCCTCGGCGAACATAGCGACGCTCTCGTTTGGTTTTTGAATTCGAGATTCCAAGAGACGTTGCGCATTCTCCTTTCTGTGAAGACTACTGAAGGTGTCAATCAGCTGGTTGCGGAAGTCATCCCACGTAGCCATGCTTCTTTCCCTGTTAATGTACCACGTCTGGGCGTTGTCTTTCAGGTAGAAGTACACATTCGCGAGCTTGTCTTCTGGGGTGGCCCACTGGTTGTACTTCGCGCAGCGTTTCGAACTGGTCCAGCCAGTCTTGTGCATCTTCATAGGTCTCACCATGAAAGCAGTCAGGAATCATGGGATTCTGAAGTGTCATATGCGATGTAGCTGCAGTGGCCATGGTGGTTGAAGGAGGCAAGCGATTGCTGGCAGTTTCTGGAAAGGGATTGAGCTCGGGAGCTAGGCCTCGCAGACGGCGGCTGGAACGGTGGACTGGTGTGTCGACGGGTGGTAGTGATTCCGGGCTTGAATGTCGGGTCCGCGAAGGGGTGCCAAGCATGAATATGTACCCAGCACCTCCACCAGTGTGACGACGTGAGATTGACGAGCACACAAAGCGCCTCAAACAAATACGATTTATCGATCGCAGGAAACAGACTGCAACGACTTCTTCGTCTTTTCCCTCGGCCAAAGACACTCGCGCTCCTTCGTTGTCCTCACCACTGGCACATACGCGCGTCATTATATATATATATATATATATATATATATATATATATATATATATATATATATATATATCTTTTTTTAGTATCTCGTGGGCTAGCTCAAACACCGCTTTCCATCAGCTAGGCCACGATCTCGACGTTGCAGAGCCGTTCAGGCTACAGCATTGTCGGTTTTGTGGCGGAAAGATCGCTGACACGCGATCTTTTCGCCGCAAAAAAGAAGAAAGTGTGGCGCAAGTTGACCTCCCGGTTCATAGAAGTGTGGCAGCTTGGGCTAGTTGAACAAAACGACGACACGGAGACAAGAAGGACTTTCATGTCTTTCGCGTCCTTGTCTCTGTGTTGTCGTTTTGTTCTCACGCTATTACTATCGTCTCCCGGTTTAATATCACTGAATAAAGGTGACTACTGATGAATAATTCATATCGTATTCGTGTTCTTTAAACCTCTTTTGTTAATACGATACTGGCGTAATAGGTTTTATTTACCGGTTTCTGTGAAAAGCGTATGAATGAGATTCTACTATAAGTAGTTCCCGCGCAAAGAAATCTAATGAGATCGTCTGCTCGCTCTTTGTGAAGGGGGAATACATCAGTCTTGGCATAACAGACGTAGTTCGGCGACTTGACGACAGATGGCGACATCAGGCAAAGGAACATTCAATATCGTCATAGGAAAGTAGGGAATCGAGGGAGAGAGACTTAGAGGAGCAAAGGAGACGTGATGAAGAAAAAGCGCTTCCCTTGACGAATGACGAGTCTCTGGCGTTCAGCCAATCAGCGCGAGCTTGCCGCGACGCCCTCGCCCCCGCGGCTCCCTCTCTCCATGAACGCGGTAGATCGGCGGAATACTTTCAGCAACAGGCGACTTCAACCCCAAGCTCGGGCTCGTCGGCACTGGGACGTTGCTCTGTCAGTTTCGGTTTTACGTGGTTGCGGTTGCCAGCAATATTAATAATAATAAAAAAAGACACGTTCTATCGAGTGGGGAAAGGAATATTCGTTTATTTTATTTTTTGCTTTGTCGTTCGAAGGGAAGAGCTAATGTCGTGCACAAGAAGCGTGGGCGTAGTGATTGTGTAAGGAACATCCACGTCGGGCAGGAAAAAAGAAAAAAAAAAAGATCGCTGGCTTTTTCTCACAAAGTGTGGTACCGAATAGCACATCGCTTGGGCCGCAAGCTTGGAAGAGTTCAGTCGGTGACCGTGCCGTTCATTCGAACAGTTGCTGCGACCTTCTCTTCCTGCTCGGACCAGCGTCGCCGGTGCAAGACACCTGCCAACGGCGCCAGCGCTCAACGTAAGTTACCGAGGCAACAGTGGTGCGCTGTAGTCGACAACGTACTGTAAACGCTTTCACAATAAGATAGGTCGTATCTCTCCGTTACCACGCTTGTCGACTGGTCGTGTCGCATTGCCGTGATTCAGAAATGAAGCAGTTAGAAATCAAATAAAAACTTTTGCAAATATAACAGAAACTTGTAGTGAGTTATCTAGTGATTAGTAGCGACCGTTACACGTAATGAACAAGATACACAGATAATATTGTTCACTTCTAAGGTGTCGATATCTCAAGAAACAAACTTTCGACATGTCTACTCAATTTGGAAATCACGGTGCCGCAACATTTTGTAAACTCCACTATTTTAATTAGAACTAACGGGCAATGATGCCAAGGAAAGTATAAGGAATGTTATTAGCAGCAATTGTGATGTTGACGTGAAGAAGAAAAAGAGGACGAAAGGATAACTTGCGACCTTCAAACAACGCATCCACCTTTTTTCATATTTGCATTATAATTACTACTAACATCCCCTATACATTTCTTGTCATCATTGTCTATAATTTCTCGTCAATAGTGTGTCTAACAAAGTTAAAACAAGCCCTAACATTCCACTTCTTTTTTTTTTAAGCTTCACTATTTGTCAGTTCGAAACTAAGTGAGAGGGCTCGCTTCTCACAGCCTCTTCATTTTTTTAAAAAAATTACTTTATGTTGTTTAACAAGTATTCCAGTTTTACTAGCAACGTTTCTAAAACCTTATAACTAACTACTACATAAAAAGCCTCAACATTCTTTTCAATAATTATAATACAATGATTTCCTTTAGCGCACACTTACCGTGGCAACTTAGAGCACCGGAGTTGTACGTAACGCGTCACAAGTAATCAATCATTTGTAATCAGTGACATTTTCTTGTAATTGTGTGATGCGATCCACCACTTTTTAGAAACTGCTACCTTCCGGATAACTCAATCATAAATTTATTGTAATTTATTACCGGTAATCAAATACTTCTTTTCCCTACATAAGTTTTAACCAGTCTTCTACGGCGTTTTTCGTTCCGAATAGTATGCGACCACTCATTCATAAGAAGTCCTTCGTCCTTTGGCGCGTAAAACTGCAACAATTATTATCAATCGAAATGAAACCTGTTCTGTCATATTCATTTAACTTAGGCTCTTGATTTCTCTAGTTTTTTTTTGTTAATGTTTTTGTGTCTCATTTTATCGTCGACTTTTATTTTTTCATACTTGGATTACTATTACCTCTAATAACACCTGCTATGCTTTCCCTGCAATTATTGTCTGTTAATTCTCATTCATATTGTGTTAAAAAACGACCTTTTAAATTTACATTAGTTTTTTTTCTCGCATCATTGTATCATTTATATATGATTTACAATATTCGTTTATTGCATTTTGTTTGCGTGTGTGTGTGTTATATTATCTTATGTACTGCATTACTGTTTGCATTACTGTTTATATTCTGTCGGTTGCCAGAAACGCTCGAACATATATTTTGCGACTGTCCAGCATATGCAAGCGAACGTCAGCAACTGATATCTTCTATTGGCCGATATATTAGTCGACCATTAACCGATGAGGTTGTGTTAGGTCCTTGGCCTGACGCCAGCAGCACACATGTGGTTATACGAGCTGTCATCGCTTTCTTAGAAGCCACTGGACTGGATGCACGTCTGTGGAGTTACCCAGCCTAAAAAGAACATATCATCTCTCTACCTTACCATCGTCATTCATCTCTCTTTCACTCCCCAGCCACTTTTCCCCAGTGTAGAGTAGCAGGCCAGAGCAAACTATAGCTCAGGCTGACCTCTCTACCTTTTTGTAAATAAATTCTCTCTCTCTCTCTCTACAGTTTAATTTTTTGGAAAGTGTCCCCCCACCCTAGCCTTCATTCACTCATTGACTAGGTCACATTGCTTTAATCGTTCAAGGCTTTTTGTTAATGCTGTTTTTAGGTTAGTTTCTGGGTTATATCAGACCAGCTTTTGTCGTTATCAAGCCTTCTTATTGCCATTTTGGTTATAGTATTCACCATCTAGCAAGGCACAGGAGGTCCCATTGTAACTACGGGACCTACACATGTAAATGCTTATGATGCATGCGTTCCCTAGACATTAAAATAAAATCTCTAGCGCAATACAAGCTATCTTTACACTGAATTTAATGCCGGGGCATGGCAAAACATAATGAGAACTAAAAAAAAATATCGGCAGATTCCACGTACCTGGGAATAGACGTTATGCGAAGCATGCCTAGGGAAGGTGGCCGTGCTGCAATTTTTATTATTGAGCGACACGTCATGAAATGATGCTAAATAAAAGTACAAACGTTGCACGCAAAGACATTTGTTGAAGGGTTGCAGATTTTTACATAACCAGTCGTTCGCACTTGCGCAAATATGCAAACTGGAACATGCATATTAGCAACACCAGAAGCTGATATGAAGCGCTGAAGCTCGCGAGGACACTGGCCCTGGACACTGCTACATAAATCAACTTCAGCGCATGACACCCTAACCACAATTGACGTTAACCCGACGTGACGGCTGTATGAAAGGAGCATATATGTAATGTTTATCAAAGTGGGTAGGCAGCACAGCAACCACATTTGATGTTTTACGAACATTAGCGTCTATTTGAAAAGTAGTTCCGAGACCTGGCGTATATAGCTCTGTGTTGAAATGCTTCATTACCACGCAGAATGCTTGGGTTGGATTCCAGCTGGTACCCTGACATTTATTCTGTGCATTCGTTGGGTCGACGCTACCGATGTCGGGTATTTCCTAACGTTCGCGCGTAAAGATTGCCCATGTGTGTTCTCTTGCTTACACACCCGCCCGTGGGTATGTGCCACTGTCTGGCGAGAAGTATTTGACGACGTAAGCGATGGGATTGGGACATTATTCATGTCTTGACCAGCGCGTCATATTCGGTTCACGCCAAGTTAAGGGGGTGACCACGAGAGCACCCATAGATAGATAGATAGATAGATAGATAGACAGATAGATAGATAGACTCAAAGTCGCCGAAGTTCACTAAAAAATGCTGCGCATTTAAAATGATTCAGACGCCGGTGAACGGAATTTATATGACCGCACTTATTGTGACGCTCACCGAAAGGGTAATGTCGGTTTTGAATCCACATTAGGCATGTTCGAGTTATTGGCTGTTCTTACGGAGTCAAAATTCGCCTTCCAGTGCCTCAGAAATTTTAATGCCCGAAGAACAAACAGAAAATTTGCTTTTATGCCGGTGAACACGAGATCGAAAAATAACAGTTGACAGTATCGCGACATTTAAAAGGCAATGCGCCGGACGGAGGAAAAAGGAGTCGTTGGACAGCACTGCGCTTTCCAGTGACATTACGCGCGAGCTTATATTGTTGGCTGTATAATGCATACGGACGTGAGTTAACGCTGCAGTTCACACGAAATGGAAGAGCATCGAATCGGTCATTTCGCCAGTGCAATGTTGGCTGGTTTCTTGGCCTGACAGATTTGGAGAGCCGGAAGTAGTAATACGAGTATAATAATATTGGTGGGCTCTGGGAATTTCGACCAGCTGGGTTTAACCCGCACCTAAACGTAAGTACACGGGCCTCGAACATTATCGCCTCCAACGAAAATGTTACGTCATCATCAGTTATGACGTGCGCAGCGTGGTACTCAAGCACGCGTGCCATTGGCTGCGCTGTGAGTGACGTAAGACGCCCGTCGCGCCGAGCCGATGCCACCTATAGAAAAACCTTTTCAGGCCTGCATACTGCCACCGTGACGTCACTCGTTTTGCCCGAGTGAGCGTGTGTACGGGAGAGAGAGAGGAAACCTTATTGAAGTGACCCTGCTGGGGTCAAAGGTGGCGGGGGGGGGGGGGGGGGAGTCGCGCCCTTCTGTAACCCCCTTTCTCAGGCTGCGGCCAGGCCTTGAATCCTGGCGGCGTCTTCGGACAGCCGGACAGCCCAGAGCTGGTCCTCCGGACACGTGCTGAGCAGCAAAGCCTCCCACTGCTCGGCCGTGAAGATTGTGGTTGTAGGGTTTGTGCTGTGCTTAATTGAGTGTGTAGCTGAGGGACCAGCTCATATAACATGGTCGAGCTCGGTGTGACGTGGATGTGAATCTATTGCCACCATCGATGTGTGGGATTTAACGTCCCAAAAACCACCATATGAGAGACGCCGTAGTGGAGGGCTCCGGAAACTTTGACCACCTGGGGTTCTTTAACGTGCACCCAAATCTGAGCACACGGGCCTACAGCATTTCCACTTCCATCGGAAATGCAGCCGGAATTCGATCCCGTGACCTGCGGGTCAGCAGCCGAGTACCTTAGCCACTAGACCACCACAGCGGGGCATTGCCACCATCGTCGCCCGTTAAAAGATAAGCGTTCAGAGTGAGTTTTACATGCCTAACAGCTTTCTTTTGCCTTTTGCATAAGAACAGCGCTAATTTGAGTAATGCATTAGGCTTGAAAGCGTTTGGAGATCTATCTGCAAGCCATTTGTTCAACTAAGAAGTAAGAAAAATTGTGCACTATTGAACGTGTAGTTGATCTAAAGGACAAAATTTGATGGCCCAACAAATTGACGAAATAAATAAGGTACAAATATTGTTCATGCCACACACACACACACACACACACACACACACACACACACACACACACACACACACACACACACACACACACACACACACACACACAATGAGAAAGAGAGACTACCCAGAACATGCAGAAAAACTGTTTCTATACTCATTTGCAAGATTGTGCAGTTTTATTTCGCACTCTTTCGAACATCTGTGGTCATAAATACGTGGTTACTTTGGAGAGTGTGTAGTGCTGCCACACGTATGTTATTCAGCACAATATCAGGGGGATGACGTACCATTGCAACAGAAAAAAAAATTTGTTTCACAAAAAACTCTTGACGGACACAAGGAGCGGCGTTTGCTCTTTTCTTCTGGCCCCTCTCACACTGGTGCGTAGTCGCCCATATG